AAGCTTCCCTGTGTTTTCTGCATATCTGGAAAGGCTGCATCTGTAACAGCCCCTTGGTGCAAAGAACTGCTCCAAGTTCTACTTTAGGGACAAAAATTTGTCTCTAACCAGCCCAAAACCCCACCTAGCAGTGATCATGTGCTTACCACCACATACATATTGCACCGCCTGCAATTGTTACCTGTCTGCCTCCACCAAGAGACTGGGCTCCGGGAGGGCAGGGCTGCCTCTGATCTGCCTCAGTGGCCCCAGCCTCTGGCCAGTGCCTACTTGAGTGGATGACAATAGATAGGGGATAAGTAGCTGGATGATGTATGGATGAATAGATGGATGGAGGATGGATGGACGGATGGGTGGATGGATAAATGGGTGGGTAGGTGGGTCAGTGGACAGATGGACAGATGGATGGATGCATGAGTGTGTAGCAGATGGACGGACGGATGAGTGGATGGGCAGATAGATGAAAGAATGGATGTTCTGCAGCAGAACTAGGCTTTGGAGAACGCTGGGACCCCAGTCAGGGTCACAATCACGCCGACCCATCATTCCTATTCCATCCCATCAATCCTGTTTCCAAACATACTCTGGTTCCACAACTTCCCTCAGTATCCACTCCTTCTGCCCCTCACCCACTCCCACCTCCCCAGCCACCCTAGGCTCCCTCACACCGAGCCCACACTGGCTCTACAGCACAATCACGCCGACCCATCATTCCTATTCCATCCCATCAATCCTGTTTCCAAACATACTCTAGTTCCACAACTTCCCTCAGTATCCACTCCTTCTGCCCCTCACCCACTCCCACCTCCCCAGCCACCCCAGGCTCCCTCACACCGAGCCCACACTGGCTCTACAAAGCTGGCACCAAAACCTGGCACACCATTCCCCCAGAGACAGAGATGGCGCCCCTCCCCGACCCTTCTCCCAGGCTCCCTGGCAGTCACCCTTATTTCCTTCATGCACATATATTGTTAATAAAAATACTCGTCTACTTGCTTTCTGTGTCTCCCTAATGGGAACACAGCAGAAGGGCAGGGACCTCATCCTTCTCTCTCCAACTCCAGTATCTAAGTAGATGCTCAATTCATGCTTGAGGAATGAATGTTACCTTACTGCCCCTTACTGGCTGGTACTTCCAGTACACAGGCTTCACCTAGATGTATCAAAGGCAGGACGGGTGCGGTGTGAAACTCCAGCAGCAGGGGTCAGATCTGTGTGCCTCCTCCCTGCCATGTGCCCTGGGCAACCTCCTTCCCCTGAGTCCCAGCTTCCTCATCAGATAAAGAAACTGCACTGCACAAGGGTGTTGTGAGCTTTGAGGGAGAAAACGAAGGCGAAAGCATTTGAAATTAGAAAACGCAAGACACATACACAACATCATGAGCTGCATTTATTGTAGTGTGTACAAACCACCCATGGCCAGTGCCTGTCAGGGACCCAGGACACTGTTCAGCCTGTGCCAAGGAGCCACGATGTTGGGGGCATGCCCCACACCCTGTCCACCGGCTGCAGCTCCCAGCATCCCTGATGGCAGAGCAGCCAGGGTCCCAGTGTGTGACTGCCCCAGAGGGATCTACGGTGGCAAAGGGGCCAAAGCTGGGCCCTACACCTTTTGTTTGGCTTGCTGATTAATTTTTGAATTAGTTGCCAACAACTAAAAAATCAGGATATTTCACATAAAAATCTGGACTTCTAGCTTTTCCAGATTTCTGACATTAGACTTTCATCCCCACATCACAGCAGTTAGCTACAACCGAATGGCAGCTGCCACCCTCAGATGGGGATCTGTGCTCTGCCACAGTCCCCACCACACTCTTGCTCTCAAGGCAAGTTGCCATTATCAACTAGATTGTGCAAAGCAACGTCTCTGTCTCTAGTAACAGGGGGCAAGTCAAAGTGAAGTAGGCCTCAACTCAAAGGCCCACTTCGTTCATTTACATAGCTCACCTACCTGGCCTGAGGGCATCTGAGTGTGAGACTCTAAACTAGCTCAGCCCCCTCCTTTCATCCACAGCCCAGGGAGGGGTGGGGCAGGGTCACTCCACATACACCCCTTCATGCAGCTGGTAAGTGGCAGAGGGCAGTAGCCAGACTTTCCAAGCCTGAGCTAGTTTTCTCTAGGTGTTTTCAAATTCCCTGCACCCAGAAGTGCTGGTAAGCAGGGTGGGCACAGGGGGCACGTGGCTCTGCTGCTGTTGGGGGCATGCCCCACACCCTGTCCACCGGCTGCAGCTCCCAGCATCCCTGATGGCAGATCAGCCAGGGTCCCAGTGTGTGACTGCCCCAGAGGGATCTACGGTGGCAAAGGGGCCAATGCTGGGCCCTACACCTTTTGTTTGGCTTGCTGATTAATTTTTGAATTAGTTGCCAACAACTAAAAAATCAGGATATTTCACATAAAAATCTGGACTTCTAGCTTCTCCAGATTTCTGACATTAGACTTTCATCCCCACATCACAGCAGTTAGCCACAACTGAATGGCAGCTGCCACCCTCAGATGGGGATCTGTGCTCTGCCACAGACCCCACCACACTCTTGCTCTCAAGGCAAGTTGCCATCATCAACTAGATTGTGCAAAGCAACGTCTCTGTCTCTAGTAACAGGGGGAAAGTCAAAGTGAAGTAGGCCTCAACTCAAAGGCCCACTTCGTTCATTTACATAACTCACCTACCTGGCCTGAGGGCATCTGAGTGTGAGACTCTAAACTAGCTCAGCCCCCTCCTTTCATCCACAGCCCAGGGAGGGGTGGGGCAGGGTCACTCCACATACACCCCTTCATGCAGCTGGTAAGTGGCAGAGGGCAGTAGCCAGACTTTCCAAGCCTGAGCTAGTTTTCTCTAGGTGTTTTCAAATTCCCTGCACCCAGACGTGCTGGTAAGCAGGGTGGGCACAGGGGGCACGTGGCTCTGCTGGAGGAAAGAAGTCAGACCTGGAGAGTTCTGTGCTGGAGCGCCCTCTAGTGGCCATGAGGCAGCTCTACAGGCCACGGGTGAAAATTTGAACTTGATTCCAAGCCTAGGAATCAACCTTCCAAGGCCCCCAAAGCAGGCTCCCTCCAATCCCATGGGTCCCAAGCCCCAGGCTTCCAGCTACTTCCTCTGAAAAATCTTACCCTCATCCCCCCCCTAAGCCACTCTCCTGGGAACGCTGGCGCCCACCTCAGTGGACCCCCTCCTAGGCTATATACTCTCTTCAGGGTAGGGTCTGACCTCCCCATTCTTCATATCCCTGGGCCTCATATCAGGCTTGGTCCACAGCAGCCTCATAGGAAATAACCTACAGAGGTGGGGAGGCCAACACCCAGCATACAGGGGTCAGGCAGGGCACTTAGGTGAGCAGAGCGGCCAGGTGGGGCCCTCAGTGACCAGGGAAGCTTGTGTACTGGGTATCATTGCCATGAAGAGCTCACATGGCCAGACGGTCATTCTTCAAGAGAAGCTGGGGATCTGGACTTTTATGTGAAGTATACCGATTTTAAAAAATTGGGTCAAATGTATAAACTGCCCAGGCCAAAAAAAACATGTTGGCAGGTTGGGTCCGGGCCAGAAGCCCCAGGCAGGAGAGCCCTTCTGAGGCCCCACAGCTGAAAGAACCTCCAAGACAGTGGGCATAAGCCAGTGGTTTCTGAGTTTTATCTGAGTAGTTTGTAGCCATCATCATGTTTAATCCTGAGAGGCAAGCAAGAGAGAGAAAATTCCTGGAGCCATTTCAGAGTCTGGGACACTGAAGCTGAAGGGCTCCTGGCAGGCTCAAGGTCACAGCTAGTAGAAAGGAGAGCTCCAAAGCTGTGTGAGGCTGTGGCCCGGGCAACAGCAGGCCTCAAAGCCCACCCCACATAGCCATGCACAGAGAAGAGTGTCCTAGCGGGGGGACACATGCAGACCCTCCATAGAAGTGCCTCCCACCCCACCTGACCTGCACTCATAGCTGAGCTCATCCTAGTTCCCTGGAGAGCCCACCACCCCAACAAGAGCCGAGACAGTGGCTTCCCTGTGCACGTGTACACACACCCTCCATGCACACAGAGCTCCAGAACAAGCAGCCCAGGCAGAGCCACAGTGACTTTCTCTGTGGACGGACAGCACATGAGAACCCCATACGGGGCTCATGTCCAAGCAGAAACACCTCCTGCAGCCTTGCCTCT